TTATGAAAAAGGGTAAAATTTGACGAATGAGTCAAAGAAATTCGTTAGCTACCTAAAGGAGATTATGGGCAGACATACGATTCATGGATTATTAATGATTAGAGCTCAAATTCGTTCATTTATTTATTTCAAATGGAGGGCGTTTTGATAGTTATCATTAGACCTTAGCTGACTTCGAACTTCACAGAGGGGAGAAACATCAAAGTGGGAAAAATTCAAGAGGGGGACTGAAGAGAGATTTGTAGATTTAAAAAGGTAGACACAATGATAGAGAGTAGGGTAAGGGGGTACTGTAGAAGTGGTCAACTATGACATACAGTGGGGGTGATGGTAGTTTGAAGTGAGGAGTCAACTGTCGGTTAATAAACCTTTTTTGTTGTATGAGTATATGTTGCCCAGGGTACACCCTGTAGAGGTAAATCTATCGCACACCCCTAAATTCGTTCATCGAAATCGGTACGCGAACTCCTGTTTGATGACTTCTGTGTTGTAAGTGCGTATAAGGTTATCAGGAATCAGACATGCCAAAAGTTCCTCAAGGAACAGGAATTTAAATTATCCAAAAGAATGAGAAAATCGCATCACTTCCTATTTGACAGTGTAACTTGTCGCACCAAAACTCAAACCTAGGACTTTGTAAAATTAGTTTACGAACGGCGCATCATTTAACAATAGTAGCGCAATTGAAACAGGAAGTTGATTTGAAAAAAACGAAATAGCGACTGTCAAATTTATATCGATCAGGGATAATAATCGGTCCTCTTTGATATGTTAATAGATCTAAATTTTCCTAACGCACTACAATCTCATTCAAGAAAACAACATAATTAGGATGATTGACTCTCATCTGTCATTGAGCCTTTTTCAGTAGTGTTTTAGAAGTGCTAAAGCTCACGCAATAAACCGATTTGCAAAAATATTAAGAAATTCTCTAGTCTAGATCCTATGAGCTTATGTCGCTACCTCGTAATGCATTATATTATTAAATAATTAGGACTATCCTTGCACTCCTCATAGATGCAACCACAAACGCATTTTGGGGCAGAATTATTGATAATGGCAAAATAGCAGTCTCAACATTGGACAAGACACAAAAGGCAGGGACGGAGGGTAGACAAATGCGAAAACTTCACGCACTCACGTACACACACACACAGGAGACTGTCTTATTGTTAAGTCATAGAAATATAATAGACGAGTATTTCGAAGGATGAAAGTGAGGACGAATGGAGACAGTGTTTTAAGTATATAGGAATGAAAGCACTAAGCCAACAGATTGTGCCATTCAGCAACTTGCTTTCTGGGGTTTTCAATCGCTGTTTTCCAATGTTGTCGTGCCCGATCATTGCCAGAGTATCCCAGAATGACATGACCAATCACCTTGCTCGGGGAATCCCTCTCCCAATTTACCACTCGGAAATCCAGCTTTATATCTTCCAGCTTTGCGTTGGGAGGAATGTCGAGCGCGAAGGCTTCGTTGAAGACCGGATTTGAGGTCCGCTTCTTAACGTGGGTCTTCTTTTTGGCAATTCTTCTGTTATTTTCCAGAAAATAAAGCTTCACATAAGGGTTTCCTATGTGGAAAAGATATTATATGATTTAAGCTTTTAATTAACACTCCATAGTTTAAGTTATATTTTGTTTGCATTGACACATAATTCCTCGTAGAAAGCGTAAATATCTGATAGAAAAATACAACCATGACAAATTTTGTCTAGATTACAACGTTCGTAAAAATGTGCTTATGTTAAAATTATAAATAAGTATTCTCAGTAAAAGTTCACTAAGCGAAACCTAGTGAGTTGCTTTGTGTTGTGTGACACGTTATCGCTCTGTGCGTCATCGTGTGCCTGCATGTCTGCTCGCCAGGGTTGGGAGGTGCGGCCGCACAACTCTGTGTGCAGCAACCGTACAAACAGCGACCAATCATCAACCTATGTTTAACCTAATCCCCCCATCCTGATCATGAGTAGCTCCCTGCGTGTACACTTTTATCCGCAATTCCCGTACTGAATAAACGTGCTCCGTGCTACACGTCTGTTTCCTTTATAGCTGGGCTATAGCTTAGCTGGTTCTGGGAGTCTAGCTAGATGTAGGAGGATCTGCCATAGAGATTTCTGAGTCAGTCAGGCTTTACTAGCGTAGCAATCCGCTACAGTGTAAAGTGACTTAGCAAACGTTCCAGAAATTCGGCTGTAAGAGAGATTAAGTAAATTAAAGTGGCTTTTCTGATTATTTAAGTATAAAAGATGTTCATTGTGCCCTAATTACCTGTAAATTAAAGGATTTAATTATTTGAGAAGCTTAGAAGAAGACCATACTCCTTTTGAGAAGTTGATAAGTCATTGCTACTTTCCATATTTTTATTTATTTGTATTAACTACTTCATCAAACTTCAAATTTCATTTTGTTCCTGTTCCCAGGAACAGGAACCGCAATTATTATTAATTGTAACTGAGAATGCCTGAGTGTATATTATCGCGCAATTCAAAGACTTCATTTAAAATTGGAAGCTGGAAGGACTTTGCCATTCAACGAGTGGTATTTTGNTTAACTCAAAATGAATGCTGTGCATTAACCGATAAGGCATATTTGGTCGCACTTTGAACTTTTAATAACAGCTCTGTAAATATCGGCATCTTAGAATTAAATGACAGTTTTTTCTCTAATTACCTGGCGATTCGGCAAGATCAACTGTCGGCAGTCCCTCGGCTTTAAGAACAACTGCAGTTAGTCGAGAAGCCGCTGGTAAATAGCAGAGACTGATTAGAAGCAGTCCACGATTCTTATCAGATGCCTGTAAATGTTTTATAATTGAATATCTAGTCATTGGAGAATTTACCTCAAATGGTTATACATTTAAACAATCTTACGCTGAATTTTCGTTTGAGGATTTCTCTAGTGGTTGTTACCTCCTTTGAGAGATTAAGGTCAAGGTCACTAAGAGGACAGACGACTTCACCAATTATTGAGTCCCTAGAATGTCGATCAAATGTCAAAATTTTGAAATGCAGTGAGCCAGTCTTTAGTAGACTAAGAGGGACCTTGCTCATCGTGAAAGCTTCTCCAAAGAATGGATTGCTCGATCCTCTCACTACTCGTGTTTTGACTCGATGCCTTTTCTCAGGAAGAAGTTCTAATTTCACATAGGAGTCCATTGTATTTAGAGTAGGATCCAGATTTGGCAAATTCACACATCGGAGAATTGAGACTCGCAGTTCTTCGAGAGCGCTGTCGTAAGTGACGGAAAACTGCAATTTTCCAAGTCCTTTGATAGCATGGTTAGGAGTTTGCGAAACAAATTCAACTCTGTCAACTGATTTATTTGGACTTGGTAGATGACGAAAATTGTTGTTAGGAGATTCACTATTGTAGCATGAACTGAAGGAATGAGGTTCATCTAGCAGTTGTCTTTTCCCAAAATTCAGAGTTCTATTTATGTCCTCTCCAGATGAACCCCACATTCTATCAGCCAATCGGCGCCTTCTACGAACAACTACGTAAGTGGTCGTTACAACAGCAAGAACGACGAAGGTAAATCCAATTATGAGACCCACAATGGCTCCAGGGTTGTCCATTAAAATGAAATTCGATGCTGAATTTGAAGAACCAGTGTTTATTTCATGCTATCTCTGCTTAGTATACTTTAAATTTCTAAACATGAATTAGATAAATTAAATGATAGAATGCCCCCATTTTTCAATATATCTCCTTCTAGTTCACAAGACCTAATTGATTAAATTAGCTAAATAATAGAATATATTTAAAATTAGCGGTTGGGTTTTAAATCAAATTAACGACTGAATCTCATGCGAGCTGTTAAGAGAGCATTAAACAAATTATGAAGGAAAGTCAATCAGTATTCGGAGAAATGAATAAGTTTACAGTTGCTAAATAAGTGCAAATGGGGGATTTAGATAAGCTGGGCTATAGTTTAGCTGGTTCTGGGAGTCTAGCTAGATGTTGGAGAATCTGCCATGGAGATTTCTGAGTCAGTGGCAATCCGCTACAGGAGTAAGGAGTATTGAAACATTTTTCCCAATGAAACTATTTTGGAAATAGAAATGTAAACATTAATATTTTTAACATCACATGACTGGACTGAAATATTACTGCTCTAAAGGATAAAGAACGGATTTTCCGAAAATAACAGAAGCCACTTCGCTAAATTAGCCTTCAATTATAAAGATAAATATCCCTCAATTTTCACTTAATCTTGCATCTCTCAAAGGCTTCCATGGAAACTTTAAGCTATTAATTAAAATACAAAGACAGGCAATTATTTTTCGAATTCATATTAAAACAATTTTAAAACTTTTCCATTGATCGGTTTATTTAAACTTTTTTATTGGGGAAACTGAGAAAGTTTAGTAGCCGGAATTAAGGAAATTTTGCAATAATTATGTTTCCCTTGGAAACGTGTATTTGATTTCATAAAAATAGTATCATTTACCAGGACTATGAAAAACTAATAAATTAAATTTATTTCTAACGTCATAACTCGTGTAAGTAATATAAAATTTCTAACAAACCAATTCGTGCGTTTTTCATGTTCAGATTGAGCTTGTGGAGGGGAGTAATTCCATGTAAATCGGTGGATATTGTTGATCGATTTGTTGAACTAGAGTGGGAGAGTGGGAGAGTGTGGGAGAGAGAGAGCGTGCGCGCGCAGCAATAGACTCACTCACAGCGGCATATAAGGAAAAAGTTGATGCAGCCATAAAATCAACGGAGGCAGGGCAAGGAGAATTGAGGACTTTCAGCAATCTGATTGGCGCGTGCCACGCCTACATATGACCGCATGTGGGCATACCAAGTGAGAGAGAGTGGGTCTGGTCGCGCAGAATGCGAGTGAGCTTGCGGAATTAGAGGACAGGCTCCAGCCTAAGACCCACTTAGCAAAGCGCTACTTATTAATTCATCAGTTTCATTTTATTACGCGTTCATTGGCCCTCGCAAATTGATTGAATTACTTAAGGAAGTATGAGTGCCGGCGGTTGGGTTAAAAGCGAAATTTTCCGAATAAGTTTATTTATTTATATCAAATGGTAGGCGTCTTGATGGCTATCATTACCGCTTTAGTTGACTTCAGGCTTCACAGAGGGGAAGGAACATCAAATTGAAAAAAGTCGAGAGGGGGGTGGAACAGAAGAGTGTTTCAAAGATGTAAGAGACAAACAGAAAGGTAGAAAAAAGGTGAGGTGAGTACTGTGAAAATAGTTGAATATAGCATAGAGTGAGGTGATGATAGTTTGAAGTGAGAAGTCAACTGCCAGTTAATGGAATTTTTTACCGTATGAATATACGTTGCCCAGGGTGCACCACGTGGAGGTAAGTCTATCGCACACCCCTTTTCCGAATAAGTAAATAACTGGAGTCAGATTTTCGAGTTCATTTAATATTTACATAAATATCTAAATTACTCAACACCATTTATTGGTTAGCAGCAAAGCAGGCAATTCTTTTTCATGAAGGCGATATAGATTTAGTTATTAATAATTTTTGTAATTTAACATTTATTGACTTCCTTTGGTTACATTGGCAAATATCAAGCAAAATAGATTTTCTCAAAAGATTTGTCAAGATCATGTATTTTCAAAATACGCCCTTCGTGGGTTTTGGAATGAAATCTACAAAATACTCAATAAGCCCCGTCTATTTACCGGCAATTATTTATTTCCAGAAAGGAATAACTTATAGTCTCTAAATCGAAGACGCGCCCATGTTTCTCCTCTCATCATTGTTATACCAGAAAATTTGACTCTGAGCCACCCAAATGCAAGCAGAAAGTGTACCATGGACGTGAGAGTTTATGCCACAATTCCACCACGCTTAAGTTGGATCTGATTCAATCAGGAATTCCAATGTGCCCTCATCAAAATTTTTATTTGGTACTGATTTTGGCGCATCGGCTAAAGTCCTTCTACCCCAACCACCCCCCCCCCCCAATTTAAAAATTGTAAGCTAAAATTTACATT